AAATTAAGTGCTTAAGAAAGCAGTGGAGCAATATCAAATTTCTATTTATCGATAGATCACATATTGTGCTCCTTCACTTCCACCGAATGCGAAAAACATTGTCTCTTCATTGTATATAAAGACGGGCGCTGCCACTATTGTGTCTCATTTCAGCGCAAGCGATGGTTGCAACAGTAATTCGTTGTCTCCTACTCGTTCTATTCAGGTAATTCTAAGACCTATTTTGTTTCTATGCATCTGATGTGGAACAATTTTCCTTTAAGCTTTACAGGTTTGATTCTTGTTTTCTTCTTACATGTTCTCCTATTAATTTGGTATGTCGCTAGTTCGAGTGAAATCTCAATTCTGCCATGGGATTTCTCAATATAATCGATGTTCGCCAAATAGTGCGTGTGCCTGTTTCCAAATAGCAGGTGCTATTGACGTTGGCATTTGTACCGATGAATTCGTGATTTGTTCTGAGCTAGTTGCATGTGAAAGCTCAAACAACGTTTGTCGTGAACCTAATCATAGATGTATTCATCATCCTCAATGTCATAATCTTCCTGTTTGTTATCCGGTGCCCAGTTTCAATCGACAACTCTGTCCACCGATAGCAAGTAAGAAAACAAAGAGTGATCTACAGATTCAAGTGAAAGCCGAATCTTTCTTAAAGTTATTTCTTCATCATTGACACACCCTCACACATGCAGTTCATGTTGATGTAGGAGCAGTGGAAAGAATCGAAGAGCCTTTGAAAAAGTAGATAAAGCATGATAGAGAGAATACGAATTGTAATCACTGAAAAAAATGATTTCATCTCTTCTCATGGACTATATCCACTAATTTTAAAAACAGAGTCAGTTTCAGTTATATTTAGGAATGTATGAAGACGCAGTGAATTTTTCAATGTACATCAGAGGCCGAAACAAATTGAACAATTGATCATTCGATTCGATTCTGTAGAATGTGTCATATGTTAGAATCTCGAGAAGAGCACTTGAATTCTATTGTGCTACATTTCTCTTTATTCACATTTTTTATTGTATACTCAACTAAGTCTAGTGAATATTGAGTTTACTCGAAAGTCTCTTTTTTCAAGGCAACTGCGATTAACATCTAGTTCGAAAGAAAATGCACTCATGATTCTCTCTGTCATGTTTCTAATGACTAACCTTGTGAAATTGAAGGCTGATCATTTAGCTATGACGAAGTAACCGCTAGAACTCAAGAGTGCTTTAGTCATTGAATTGAATGATTATGTCACTAATGATCAGTAATGCAACTGTGTACGTAAATTATATGTCACAGTTTGTAGCACCACTGACTCAGCCGCCTTAGAAAAATACTAATAAACACAGAATGCATATTGGTGGGATGCTCTTGGCACGGCTAATTATTTTGGAGGCTATACCTACTTGTATCAAACATTTGAGATTTCGTTCTTAAGAGAAGAATGTCAATATTCAAACCGTCTAATAACAAGAGGGACGAGAGAGAGAGCTTTTAACAATTTATCTGTACAGTATTCTTCGGTTCTTTCGAGTATCTCTGTGAAGCCATTTCACTCACATTACTGATATGACGGCAGTGTATTCTAATGGTCTAAGACGACGAAAACACTGGCGTATGGGCAATTTATGTGAGAAGTTTAAATTGTACTGCAACAATAGGCAGTATATTTAAATCTTTTACCCGTATTTAAAATATAACAGAAGCAATGAATTTGAGCAGAACAGTTTCGGTGGATTTGATTCCACTCAATGCGATTCGATTTAATTTGATTCAGCCGCATCAAATCGAATAGAATTGTTGAAAATTTTACTGGGTTTTCGGTCTCCGATGAACACAGACGTTTTCCAGCAAAAATCAGGTTTGAAAGAAAAAAAAACCCTTTTCAGACCATTTTCAGATCGGTGCTCTACTTTGAAACACTGCTTAGGCTTCACCTAAAACTTAAGTGCACCAAATTCTATATTACATTCTATGTTACACCTAAAACACTATCTGCTTTGTTTACGCAAATGTTCTTTGATAATGCATAGCAACCAACCCTACAACTGAAACTACAATTCCAAGTACCACGACAACTACAACAACTATTCAGCAGCTAGGTAAGCATTGAATTAACACTTATTGATCTTGACAAATCCTAATTTTTACTGAAATATATATAGTTCTTTTGTATACAATATTAATCCGCAGCTAATTAAAGGTAACATTGATAAGATAAGCAATCTTATATTATGAGTGATTAAATCTTTATCATAAGAAAAAAATCAATTAATAGTAATCCCTATGTTGATTATTTTTCGTCACTATTGAATTTTATTTCGTTTTGTTGATATCTACAAAACAAAAACCATCCTTTCTCTTCGTTACAGATGAATTATTGTGAAAAGTACTACAAACTTGGTTTTTCACTGCTAGGAAACTAGACCAAAACTTAACAGTAAAAGTCATTTTTCTCTACACTTTCGAATCCGTTTTGTCCAATATTTTTTATACAAGGAAGTGACATGGATCTCTTCCATTTAAAAAGCAATTTTCATTATTATTGAGCTCATTGTTGCATAAATATGAGCGTGCAAAAGTTTCGTAACAGCGCTTCTCGAACTTTATCGAATTTTTGGACAAAATGTAAAATCAATAAAAAATAGAAACTATTTAATTCGATAGAGTAATTGATGCTCTATCCAGCTATATGAAAACAAAAAAAAATCTCTGATATTTTGTATAGATACAATAAACTGCACAAAACTATCAAAAATAACTGAATCAAGCTGTGTAAATAATCATCCTGCAAAAGATTCTGCATTCGAGATTACAAATAGAATCCTCAGATCTCTATATTTTTCTATCGAAAGCTCACGTACAATTTTCATCCACTGCGAACGCTCTACGTTTTTTGGCATCTCAGAGATCTTGACAAGAACTAGAAGTGACATAGATGTAAGAATCGTTACGAAATCCTTCTTTTTCATAGGAAACTCGGAGAAGCTTCTGCATTTTTATCTGCAGAAAAAACATTCACGAAAGTTTTACCAAAGTGCCTTCGAAGAAGACGAATATCTCCTTCATAGCTCTTTCCCCCACGAGAGAGGGGATATCTCTTCGATAACGACGATTCTTTTTCTTTTTCGTTCATTGTAGTGATTCCGAATATTCCAGTTGGTGCTCGATGGGCACAGAATGGGGTGACCGTTGCTGGAGGTAATAGACAAGGCAATGCCACCAATCAACTCAACCACCCCATCGATCTCTTCGTTGATGACGATCAAACGATGGTCATTGCTGACATGTACAATCATCGCATCATCCAATGGAAGATGGGTGATACGAACGGACAAGTTCTTGCTGGTGGTCATAATCAAGGAAATCGATTGGATCAACTGAATGATCCAGCCGATGTGTTGATCGACAAAGAGACGAATAGTCTCATTATTTGTGATTACGGGAATCGACGAGTCGTACGATGGTCTCGTCATAGTGGCACAACTCAAGGAGAAATCCTCATCGACAACATCCGCTGTTATGGATTGGCCATGGATGATCAGAGATATCTCTACATCTCTGACATCGAAAAACATGAAGTAAGACGATATCAAATAGGGGACAAGGATGGACCTGTCGTGGCTGGTGGCAATGGCAAAGGTGATGGTCTCAATCAACTCAACGATCCGCGCCACATCTTTGTTGATCAACAACAGACTGTCTACGTGACAGACCGTCAGAATCATCGTGTGATGAAATGGAATAAAGGTGCAAAAGAAGGAATTGTCGTCGCTGGGGGTCGAGGCGGAGGGAATGCTCTGACACAATTGTGGGATCCTGATCGATTGTTCGTCGATACATTGGGTACCATCTATGTGGTAGACTCGTGGAATCATCGAGTGATGCGTTGGCCTAAAGGAGCCAAACAGGGCACTGTCATTGTGGGTGGCAATGGTCCAGGAGAAGGAGCAAATCAGTTCAACAGTCCCATCGGTTTGTCCTTCGATCGACATGGCAATCTCTATGTCACCGATCGTCTAAATCATCGTGTTCAACGGTTCTCTATTGAATAGAGTCAAAACGATGGATTATTTTTTTGTTTTTTTCTTTCTCTCAAATAAATCACGTTGAATTGATGAAAGCAATGTTTATCCTATTCGTGCGTGCGCGACCAGGAACCATCCTGGTGGTGCCGTGGCGAGAATAATGCTCATGCACGCACGGAACAGACTCATATCATTCACATCCCTCCCATTCGAGAGATATGTCAAAGAGTCGGTGGTCATTCACTTCGGTACATGACATTTCGTCCCGTACTATTTGTCCCACACAATTCGTCCCAATTACAATTCGTCCCCTTACTGTTCATCCCAATTACATTTCGTCCTAATTACATTTCGTCCTAATTACATTTTTTCCCATTACAATTCGTTCCCTTACAATTCGTCCTCTTACAATTCGTCCTCTTACAATTCGTCCTCTTACAATTTGTCCCAAATATATTTTGTTCCTTTACATTTCATCCCATTTATATTATATCTCATATTTCTACTAACAATGGAGGTACTTGTATTGTAACCGAGCTAGACTTGACATTTTAGCACCAAATGAAAGCTCTCACTGCCAAACTAACAAGGTTAAAATATTAGCGGCCCTTGGCTTACCTAGAGAGAGATATTCAATTTTTACGGTACTGACGATTGAGTATATAGGAACCTTAGAATTATTTACATTAATTTTTTTATGCAATTAACTGAGTATTTCAATAGTAGGCTTCGAGAATCTTTCTGAGATTTATCTATAGTATTAAGATGACATTGGTTTTAATCTCTTCCAAAAAATAAATAGTGTTGAAATGAAAAGTTATGCGACATATTTGAAAAATGACTTATGCATATAATATTTGAATTTGAAGTGCATTGATGCATCACTTGGTGGTCTATTGACCGTTCCTTTGCAATTGGTGTTAAGAAATCACAAAGAAATATATTATCCAAGAATTATTCTCTTTCACTCTTTCCTGTATCTACCACGTAACACGCTTTATTCCTTTAAATTAAAACATGAATTTATTGAACATCGTTAAACATCTTCTTGATTTGGCTCAAACTGGATTTGGATATGGAAATTCTGCAATGACTACTGATGAAATTTTTATTGCAGAACGATTATTCGAAGTTTTGAAGTCATTTAAAGATAGCTACTTCAGTGAGCTGTACAGTTATGATTCGCTCGAATTCGAAGATGAATATGATGAAACGGCTGAAGAAGAAGAAGACAGCAATGATGAAACAACTGAAGAAGAAGACAGCAGTGATGAAACGATTGTTGAAGCAAAGAGCGACGATGAAATGGATGATCACAATGAAAATGAACATTCTGATCTGAGAAATCGTTTTACATTAGATGAAATGGAAAAAATAATCGAATGGGTCGATCAACATCCAAATGCTAGATTTGCAACTATTTCCCATCGTTTTAAAAAGATCAAACATAGGAATTATATTACAAGATTTAGAGAATATATCGAAAATGATGGGACAAGAATAGAAAAATTAAAACTAGGCATGCACCAGTCCCAGTCGTGACTGGTTGAACTGGTACCAGTCGGACTGGGCATCCAGTCGGATTGGATACCCAGTCCGACTGGTCCCCAGTCCTGACTGGAGACCCAGTCACGACTGGGTACCTAGTCATCTGACCTTGATCCCATTAATCGAGTATTATTTTCTTCTATTCTAGTAAGGATGTACGAAATGGAGTCCAGCCATGCCAAAATCAAACTCAAATCTAGTCAAATCATGTCAAACTCCAACCCAAATCTAGTCGAATCCTGTTAAATCCAGCGTTTGGATTTGATAGGATCTGGATTTGGGGCATTCCTAGAATGAATTCACCCAAATATATTAGAAAATAGGAAAATATTGTTCGATTAGCGAAGTCAAGATAAAACGCCTAAGTATCCAGTCGTGACTGGGTACCCAGTTAGGACTGGGTACCAGTCGGACTGGATCCCAGTCCGACTTGCAAAGAACAATTGAAAAAGCAGCCGTTCATGATACTGACCTTGAACTTTATGCAATTCAAAAAGCAAGAGAATTGAATTGGGACACATTCAAGGCAAGCAAACAATTTCTCAATACTTTCAAGAAGGAAAACAGAATATCATCAAGAATGTATAATAAAATTATTACTCGAACAACCTCAAATAGTAAAATCTGCAGTTTAGATGGTAATCAATTTGTTTTTCGAGTTTAAATTCATGTGTCTTAATGTAATATACATTAATATTTTAGATGCCCAAAATTGGATTGAAAGTAAAAGAACTATAATATCAAAGTATACTAATCATCAAATTTTAAACAGTGATCACTGTTCATTTCAACAAGAATATGTCTCACCAAGAACTCTTTCTTTTAGTGGTGAACGAACAACAGAAGTGGTTGTTAAAAAGAAACATCACTTAACACACTCTTATACAGTACAGCCTGCCACATCAGCTGATGGCCGTTTATTAGGTAAATTCTTTCTCATCCTTCAAGAGAAAGGAAATGAATTCGGTAAAAGAGTGCAAAAAGATTTAATTGTACCACCAAATGTTGTAGTAAGAGCTTCAAAATCAGGAAAAAGCAGTGGTGAAAAACATCACACTTTTTTAAATGAAGTTCTGCGTCCTTTGGTTGGTAATAAATTTCTTCTTTTTCTTGATTCTTGGAAAACTCAAACTGATCTAACAAAATTTAGAGCAGTATTTCCTAATCAAGACAGTCAATTATTGATTTTTCCTAAAGGATCAACCGATTATATTCAACCACAAGATCTTTCTTTATTTCGCTCATGGCGATTTATTCATGAAAAAATTGAGCATTATGTTCATATCAATCAAACAGAAATGACTATAAGTGATCGTCAATATTTCATCAACATTCATTCTATTATTCACAATCAATTATCAGCTCCACAATTTAAAAATCTCATTAAGAATGGATTTATACAAGCTCGAATAACAAATGAAAGAATTGGACAAATTGAAAAACCAAAAGACGTGTGCTTCAAATTTTAAGATCTGTATTGTTCAATTAACAATTGTAATGAACGAACATTATTAAAATGTGCTTGGTGTGAAAAAACTCTTTGTTACTATCATTTGATTGAAGGTCTACATCTACACCTATAGTACATTTAATAAAATAACATATTGTGATCTATTGTTTTCAGTTGAAATAAAAACGAAACTATTGATGATTTTGATAAATGCTAGCTGATGTTTATCTATAATAATACTATTTAATTTTTGGAAGAGATTAAAACCAATGTCATCTTAATACTATAGATAAATCTCAGAAAGATTCTCGAAGCCTACTATTGAAATACTCAGTTAATTGCATAAAAAAATTAATGTAAATAATTCTAAGGTTCCTATATACTCAATCGTCAGTACTGTAAAAATTGAATATCTCTCTCTAGGTAAGCCAAGGGCCGCTAATATTTTAACCTTGTTAGTTTGGCAGTGAGAGCTTTCATTTGGTGCTAAAATGTCAAGTCTAGCTCGGTTACAATACAAGTACCTCCATTGTAAGATCAGTCTATATAGTTATAGTTATTCAAAAATAAGTTTCGTCGAAATTTTATCCTTGTGTCTAATGAATCATGACGACTAAAAAAGACCAACGAAGAATGTATAGATATCCTTTCTTCCTTCTAGACATTTATCCAGATCAATTTTCTATTCGGCATTTCATCACATGCATTAGTACTTATTGTCGTCTCGAACAAATTCACATAATAGTCTAAAAGACGAATACAATTCAGGTATTAAAGAGTTCTCGAGAAAATCCAATAATTCATTTTTCGAGATTTTTTATACGCAACATCGAATAACAGAAGAAAAACGTAGTTTTCGTTGTAAAGATCGAGATTGTAGAAGTAAGTGTAAATTGAGAAATGTCATCTAAAATTTGCTTGATATTATAATTTTTGGTCGTTGTCAAACAAATATCCAAATGGATGTATAACTTAAGGTATCATCCGAACATTGTGTGTGGGTGTGGGTGGGTGTCAGCGAATAGAAGATCCACCCACACCCACACCCGCACCCACATCCACACCCACACCCACACCCACCCACACCCCACACCCACACCCACACCCCACCCACACCCACACACACACCCACACTCACACTCCACACTCACACGCCACACTCACACCCATACCCATATCCACCCACACCCACACCCACACCCTTGTCAGTGATGAAATGTCGATAGCAATCAATAGGATTGATTGTACCATCTTCGGAAGTTAGCGTTACTTGTTCAACAATTCCATGATCTTCCAGAAATTCACCATCAGATTCTGATTCTATTTCACTCCAGACGTTTGAATCCACCTCATCATCAGTGACTTCCTCGTCGGAACTTGCAGATTCCAAGTGCATTCTAGCAAAATTATCATCCAAAGAACACACTACACTGAGTGAATCAGTGTAGTGTGTTCTGCACTGGCTTCTTCTGGCGACATGTAAAATATTCAAGAATTCTGATAACTTTGTTCGCTTTTATAATGATGAGCAGCAATGTGCAGAATAAACATGAATTCAACAGAAAAATCTAGAAACTATCTATCCTTATCTCGCACGTAATGTATACTACATATTATAGAACGAAAAAGTAGCTTAAGTCATTATACAGCTGGACACGAGATTCGATTTACTATCTAATGGTACAAAACAGAAGGGCAGTAAAAAAATCGATAAGACACAAAGAAAGGGTCAGTAAGTGCATTTACTAGAAGTTTATTCTTCGTGGGAACGAGTATCCCGATCAATTTCTGTACGAAAATTGAATCGCCTCGAGTGTATTAATATCTCAAAATCATATGGAAATTCGACTCATGTAAACACGAAACACAAATATTATGCGTTCGAACGCATTTATTCTTGGGAAGCGCGTCTACACACGGTGGAAAATCAATAAAAACTGCGCCTGGATGCAATGTTGTATGAATCGCGTTCAGACGCGGTTGAGATAAGACTATAGATGCGTTTTCACTTGGAATCGCGTTTCCAGTGAAACATTTGGTGCGTTTGAACGTGGGTGTAGATGCCAGTCTTCTCTTCAAGTACGCTCACACCCACATCCCACACTCACACCTACAGACACCTACACCCACACTCACACCCACACTCCACACCCACACCTACACCCCGCAATCTAAAACAAGATGTACATGTACATGTACACTTCTTTTTACATGGCTAATTTATATAAAATCGAGGTTTCATAGACTGTAAAGAAATAATAAGATAATGTTCATATAGCTTGAATAAATGTTCATATAGCTTGAATAAACATAGATGCAGTTTTTATCGTAGAGAAGATGTGCGTGTGGATGCATTTAAAATTATCGTCTATACATACACTCTCATTCATATCCCTGTTAAACATGAACAAAAAATGAATAGATATTAGTTTATAAAATTTGTAATGCCGAAGGTTGAATATAGATTATTAGTTGATAAATCATTTGAACAACCCAATGTATTCCATCTGTTCCATTATTATCAAATGGTTCATTGACAGAAATAAAACGAGCCAATTTATAATACCAACGAAATGGAGCCATAGAAGTTTGTGCCCATTGATGATTTTTTGCTGAGGCATAACAACTTGCCAAAACATCATTTATCAATATAGTTCCTTTATTTAATAATAAAAATATTTCCAACTAAATAAATATAATGAAATCTAGACTAACCTGTTAATGTTAATGGAGCAAAATATCCTTTTTTTATTTCAATGGTTATATTTCTAACTGGCGAAGATTCTATGTGGCCATTCATAAGAACATACAATTGATCACCCAATTGAACTTGCCGAGCTGCGATATAATTCATTTTGTTATTTGAAGAAATAATCGGAATTAAATGGAGATCTGTTAAACTTATTTTATAACCTGAATTAGTTATGAATGTATAAAATTTAGCTAAAACAAACCGATTAAAGAAAAAAGAAATACTATGATAGAATAAAAACCTTGTTTTGATCTTTGTTTATCCAACATAAAAATCATTTCAGTAGAAACTATTTCCAAACGATCAACAGCAAGAATTTCATCACCTATTTCAAGACAATCGAGTTGTTTTTGTTCACCATTAGTTAACATAATCGATGAATCACCAGAAAAACATCCAATTCCAACGTCTGTTGAATCTGCATTGGCTCCTATATTATTTTAAAATTTTCTTCAGAAAAAATCTCTAATGATTTAATCTTTACCACTTTGCTGTCCATAACTATGGTGTATTGCAGCAAGATATAGAATAACAATTTTGAAAACATACATGCTTTTCTGTATGTTTTGAAATGATGAAATGAACAATTTTAATGTCGAAAGACTATTTGAAAATCTTCAAGTTTGACTTAACTTCACTTTAAATGATCGAATTCAATAATGAAATTTTTTTTTTCTTAATGTAACATTAATATAAAAGCAAATACTTTTGTAAATTTTTCAATGATGATTTATCTTAATATTTACTTTAAGAATTTCATCGTTGCATGTTTACAAGTCAATCAAAAATCATAATTTACATATTTGAAAAACCGTAACCAAATAAAAACGAATATACAGAGCAGTTCTTTTGCCTTTGTTTTGAATCTCTTTCAATTCTGATTTAACAGCAAGACTATTGTTGGATTGCTGCTATTATTGACTTTCGATATTTACAACAAAAATCAATGTTATTTTTGCATCTAATTGTTTAACAGTGATGAGTAATCAAAACCTTGTGTGGGTGTGGGTGTGGGTGTGGGTGTGGGTGTGGGTGTGGGGTTAGGGTATGGGTGGGTGTGGGTGTGGGTGGATGTGGGTGTGGGTGTCGGTGTGGGTGGGTGTGGGTGTGGGTGTGTGGGTGTGACTGTGAGTGTCGAAGTCTTCGTTTTACCCACACCCACACCCACAGCCACACCTCACCCACACCCGCACTCACCCACACCCACACTCACCCACACCCACACCCTTTAGTAATACTCTCAATTTTGTATCCACTGATAATGTTTCCTAAGTTAATCAACACAAATGTGGAATGTATTCTTCTTGTTGCTGATTATCAAAATTTAACTAGACTTAGATTTGTTGATTTCACGCAAGAATTTAGTTTAAATTATGTTACAAGTAAGAAAAATAATAGACAATTATGTTAAATAGAACAGACTATAGAATATAAAGTTACAAATCATCTTCTTGTAAATAATAAAGAATGAAATGGGATAGAATCATTGAAAAATTGTATACTAGAAATGTATATGAACGTATTTTGAATTTCTTTAAAAATTTAAAAAATTTGAATATTATTGAAACAATCAATCTATCATATTCATCATCAATTTTTTTTTTCTTTTCAACTCTTACTCATTTATATATTAATATGTACATATTAGCCAATATCATAAGTTATATCAGTAATCGTGAAGCTATATATTCTATCTTCTCAATTCCTTTTGTATTTGATTAGCGTCAAGATAATGTATATTCAAATTTTTACTACACTAAACGTCAAACATGAAAATATTGACAATGTTGAAGAATTTTAAAATGAAACAAAAACATTCGTAGCATGTCTAAACCAAATTAATAATTCATTAAAATGACTTGAAAAAACACGACAAGCTTGTATGAACATAAAAGAACTTTTACTGTTCCACACATTGTTATAACAGAACGTTTTTCGTCATTACTTTCTTTCGTTATAAATGAAATTTTGTTTTGACTTGTTCAATAGATTGAAAAACATGATAAATGTTGTATTTCAATGAACGATATAATTAAGATATACAGAAATATCGACTACTGATGATGCTGTACTAACAGTTGAGGATGTTGCGTATGCTTACTCTTTTACTAACATTTACAATCACTAAGATCCATACTCACTTGAGCATTTGCATACGCGCTTGACTCTATAACAATACTTAATAAGACACATCCGTAGTCTCATTTACATTTGAAATAGCTTTGATATATGAAAGCTACATTACTTTCCGACATTTCTTGTGATTCAAATAATTCTTCCTGACTGTAATGATACATATTTTCTTTGACATAGATTTTTAAAAGTATTATTCTCCTTCATTTCATAATGATTTAGTTTTGAACACATTTTATTTAAATAATATTTGATAAAAATTAACAAATGAATATTTCTGTATGAGGAAAATATTCTTGTACATATTTAGGAATTCGATATTTACCAACAATATCTAAACAACTCAATTTTGAACAATTGATTCGTGTAGCATTGCTTTTAAATTTTTGTGTTACTTTTCTTAGTGCTTGATAAACGACAGAAAGATCAACATTACTTGACAAAATCGTTTTCGTATCAAGTAGAAATTGTTCGATATAATCTAAATGAGATTTAGTAAGATCAAGTGTAGTAAGATGAGGATATTCAATGATTGGTAAATTTTGATTGTCATCAGTTTGTTTACCATTTTGAGGTTTCATATTAACTAAAGTTAAATCTTTTACCAATGGAAATGATTGAGCAATTCGAAGAAAAAATTCATGTTCAAAAGGTCGTTCATCATATAATGATATTTTAGAGACACATTTAATTAATCCACCTGGGAAATTATTAGTTATTTTATAATAATTGTTCAATGTATAAGGATATGAATAAATATGACATTGACCTTGTTGAGTCTCTGAAAAATAGTTAACACAAGAAATAATATGATTATCACAAATATCTTTGAATGTATATTGAATATCTTCATTTGATGGTAAATTAATTTGATTATGCAGATCAATAGTTGAACGAATGTTAAAGTGAAATTTATTTAATCGTGACATTTTATTGATAATATTTTTTTTCAAATCATTACCATCAACAAATGTGTTCTTGATACTAACTATAAGATATAAACCAAGTTCTTCTAAATTGATCATTCGATTTAAAAGTGGAACAATTAATTCATCATAATAATATGTCATGTTTTCCCCATATAGTGAAAAGCATTTTAAATTAGGTAGATTTTCCTAGAAAAGAGAGCAAATCCCATTTTTTCATTTGTATAAATTAGATAAAAATCAAATTAGTCTACCGTATTATTGGTTCTGCATGGTAACTTGTAAATCGAAGAAATATAAATATAAAACGTACGCAGTTGATTGAAACGTCCATCAAGTAAATAAAGACAATCGTTGAAATCTCTTACACTGATATGCAGTTCTAAGAGAGTTGAAGAAGTAAATCTTAGAGTTACAACATCAAATGATAACGCTGAATACGAAATTGAAGATGGACAGAAATTTAAATTTTGTAGGTTGGTGAACATATTAATAATATACATAAATATAGATGCATTCATAGATTTTGTATAAAATTCTTCTTTCTCTTCTCTCACGTGAATATTAAGTGATAAAATTTGATTTTTAAATAGATTAGTTAAAGCAGTTTCACCTAAAAATAAATACAAAGTTCATGAGAAATAAATTAATCATCTTTTATATTGATTATATCATGTGGTCAGCAAATGTGGAACGTCTTTTTCATAACTTTTTATCAACGAAAAAATATACTAATATGATTTGTAATGTACTGATTTATCGGTCATGAGATAAGCAACACACAAAGTATAGATTGATTAATATTTCACAAAAATATCCATAAAACTAAAGATGTGTGAATTTCGCACGCTAGATTCAAAGGAACTACAGTGGTAAATTTTTCTTTCTATATACTTCTTATTTATTCTGAATTAAAACTATTGAAATAATAAATCTTACCAGTAGCGTAGTGCATAGATATTTCTATGTCCATATTATATAAAGTAAGTCCATATAAACTAGGATAATTAGTAGCTAGAAGGATACGTTCCATAGATGATGAGTCAAGATCAATCCGTTTGATTTTATCGTTAATGTTGGGTAAAATATGTGAACAAAATCGATCAAGCATTGAATCAGTTGATGGATTGATGAAATCATCCGAGATATATTCCCGTAAGGTTAAATGATTAGTAAACATTGAATCACGTACAATTGTATTAAGTCGTTGATTAACACCTATTAAAGAATAGAGTACATTAGTTTGAGACATATTTTTAAAAATCATCATAAGAATTTCATCAGGTAAATTATCCAATTGAATCGTTGAATGTTCCATGTTTATTTTCATTTCTGTATATGCCTTTTGTAACTCAGAAATGTGATTATTTATATACGCATATTTCTTTTATCTAATTGACTGACATCGTGAAAGAAAACAAAGATGCATTTGCCTATAATCCAACTTGACTATGTATGAGTGAGCAAATGAATCAAAGAAACGTTTTTTTCTTTCGGGCAGTCGATCGAATCTAAGTCTATTGCCCATAGTAAGTAAAAATAGATGCATAATAAAATAGCTAGACAACGGTGTTGCAGCAGTTAGAACAACTTGCTTATGTTTTCTACGCTACTGCTTTTATCTGTTCTATTTCGCATATTTGTTTGAATTATTGGATTCTCTATAATATTAGTATATTGATATAACTAGAGTCAAACTCGACTACATACATAAGTGTTCAAACTGTTAATAAAAAAAACATTCTTTTATTATAGAATTATTGACAAATTTTTATAGGCCTATTCCATATGATAGACACTGACAGAGTTTGCCGTCAGATATACTTTGGTTTTCAGGAAACTTTCAAGTACTTTCACAGTTGTGATCATTGAAAGTATCGTTTCTAATTTCGTTTCACTCTCCACTCCATCTCAAACATCAACACCCACTTGTAACCATCGATAATTCCACCATCGAAAGTTCTTTATCGCAACCGAATTAACGCTGCTTTCAAAAGAGTATTAATCGAACAATTCGTTGAAATAACAGCATATTCAAGTTGCTAGGTTGCTTGTATCTATGAGTTCATGTACTTTTCTCTTCTTATTATAAAGCATGACATTAAACTGAGTAAATATTACTAATTTCATTTGTCTATGGTCGACCGCCATCGATGTCTATTACTGAGTTATCACCAGTTTTTTTCCTCAATATGCCTCAAAATTAATTAGTTCGTGTGCGCATGAGTAATGATGTATATGCATGATCCATGCGAAACTGATCAATAGTCACTAGTGTTGTATGGATTTTTTACAGGTAAACCTACACATATTTTATTTCCCAACAAACGTCTTGTTAAAACATAGCACTATATATAGATCTAGATATAATGAACACAACACCATATCGACAATAGATAAATTCAATTTCGATGCAGCTTACTGTAACCTATGTCACATTCTGAAAAACATAATGCTGTGAGAAGCTAACATCAGACAACGATAGTTTTTTTAAATGAAAAATGAAATACCACTAGAGATTCTGAACGCCTTACGGGAATGGGACCGAAAACAAAAATTTTTCTTACGGGCACGGGGGACTCAAAAAATTTGTTCCCGTAGGACTCTACTACTGGCATCGACACCTCAGAAAATAAAAATAACTACAACTAAAAGTCGGCAAGCGATGACACAGGAATGTGCTACCAGTTTTGAGTATGTATTACTAATATTCTTTTGTCCTCCTCATCTATTTTTGTTTAGAATAACACATTTTTATTTCATTTTTTTAGAATATTCAAAAATCAATGTTCGTTCTTTGTTCGTCGTCTTTCGTTCCTTTTTTTAACGTATAATTTTTTATTATTATAATATTTTTTGTGCAAATTTTTTTATTTGTATCATTCTTCTCATTTTATTGAAGTATAAATAAATAAAATTAAAAAAAAACCATGAAGTAAAATCAAATCGCACTTCAGCATGTAACTTTATTCTATAGAAAATTGAAACGATGCCTTGCATGTAAACTATTATGTTGAACATAGAAACATTTTGAAATAAGCTATACAGTTCATTATAAAGACAACGCCATTACTTAATTTGATGCCATAATGATACCTCGCTCAAGAATCGTAATATGACGCCATCTTTCGCATGAGATTCTCGTTTTTAAAAAAATGAAAACGTAGTTTTAAATAGAACTGATCATGAGTAATTTCTATGACGAATTTATCTTCTGACCCTATCACTCAGAAATACATCATTTCTAGTGGTGCATTTCACCATTGATTGCTCGTTCTCGCTTGCTTTGTTTCATCAGACCCCGTACTAATTATAGTTCATAAGAAAGAAAAATTTCCTTAACATTAATCAGAAACAATGAACTCAACTAAATGTTCTTCATCGAATAATAATGATAAATATAATTGTATCATTATTCGTGCACGAGGAACAAATGAAAGATCATTAACGGATATTCAATCAATTTGTTCTCATTTGGAACCGATCACATTGAAATCATACGGTTGTGAAATATCAGAAAAACGTGAACTTATTTCAAAATTTGGTATGCATGATGATCTTTGTGAAACAGGCAAATTCTACGATCACGAAGATACATCGAATTGGTATTACTATGTATACGGTAGATCGACACAAAAGAAACAAACAAATGGGCAAATAATGAATTTTATTGCTTCACGTCTTCTTGGACATTCGGTTTACGATGATATTGCAATAATACGTTCAGGTCCGACAACATCAACATTTGAACCATGGCTTTCAATTGAAAAATTAGCTCAAACAGTTCTCTATTATGAAACGCACGATCCACAAACGATATTTGCTGAACGAGAACGAAAACGTTTCTTCGAAAAAATGGGTATACAAGATCAAAAGAATATTCCAGCGTTTGCAACTGGATTTAACTTTTGAAATAAATAAAAAAAAAATAAACAATTGATTTGAAATAAAAATATAATAGTTGTTCGAAATCATTAGTTTTGTTATCTTTTAAAAACAATACATTTGACATAAGAACCATGTAAAGCTTCGAGTAGAATAAGCCTTTTGGCTTTATAATAGTAATGTTTTATTACATTCAGCATAGAAAATAAGTTGAAAAACGTTCTTGCATAAATAAAAAATAATTTCATATGAACAGAAAAAGTCGGGATAATTTTTGAAAGTCGTCAAATGATTATAGCATTATTTTTTGACTATGAAAGTTTTCTCAGAAAAGGATCGACTAGTTTTATTCTGTAACCTTTTAGCCATGGTCCACAATATCTTTTTATCAAAGTAAAAACATTGTGTGCATTTCTACCAAATGAAGAATCGTACAGTAAAACACTAGATTTATGTGCTCAAAATTAAATGCAGATGAATCTGCGAGGCTCTTACGAAGTTTTGGAATAAAGTTCTTTTTCTGCTTTTAAGTATAATATCATCGAAAAGAGATGAAGAAAAAGTATTGTTTTTTTTGTAGCTAAAATTTTGAAATTCAGGTCATTCTCCATGCTTGATGCACTTGTCAGAACTTCTTCGACGATTATTGTACATAGGTATTCAATAAATATTTTGAATACGCCATGTCTTAATTTATTAGAAATGAATCAGATGACATCACAATAGTCAAAATGGGACTGTACATGGATTCAAGGATCAAATTTTGAACACATCGTTCGACAACTTTTGAAATCCAGATTCTGAAAGAATTATTTTTTCGAAGCATATCTGAGGAAAGAATCTTTCCGAGTGAAAAGTCGCTTCTCGATGAAGACTGTATCATTGGATGCGTCCTAATGCGAGAAATTGAAAATTCTAATATGATTTGGTTTCTCACACCTTTGTAATCGAATGTTTCAACAAAACCATGTAAGAAAAAAAAATTACTATTTCACAAAAGAATGTTTTTCATATAAAACATACTCGAAAGATGACTACTGAGTTTTATTGTAAAATTCAATTTCATTATTGTCAATTGAGAAGTAATTTTAAACCTGGAGAGGCTCCTCTGATAATAGAAGATTGTACAAGAAATTTTGAATTATCTGCTAAAGTAAGTATAATAACTACATGGCATTTAAATTGGTATACAAACGCTGTACTTTAATCATATCCGTATTTTAATTAGAAAATTGAATAATTTAGTTCTTTTTAATAGTCCATGCAGGATGCTGCTTTTTTAAACGTTTTTTCTATCTGTGATGTGAGTTTAGCAGACGTTCAACAAAAGTCCGTGTGTGCCCACACCATAGGAGGAAGTATTTTGATTGTAGGAACATTTCGAGAAAACAGCAACATCCTGGATATTCTCGTCAAGGGAAATTTGTCGTGCTCATTAATAATACTCTATCTCTGGACAAGCACCGTTCCAAAGGCATAATGTATAACCACCACGTGCATCCACACCCTCCTGCTACGTTTCAGCATAATTTCATAAGTAACGCTCGTCACAAGACTCGCTTTACCCTCGACTGAATATTCAGCTCTTTGCATATAAAATACTACTTTAAAAGCCTAAGCAACATGTGTATTCAATACTAGACAGGGTAAATGTCGTTGTGGATGCCGACATGCGCTTCAGTATCGTTTTTCGTGAGGATACCAATATCCGTCTTGTGCATTTTGTCATAGATTGATCTAATCACATGTTTACCTACACATCGATGCCTAACCGAAATCCACATAATCTACACCAATCCCTTATCACACACACCCAACTATATGCCTCGAATCTGAAAACTCATTATATTTCATTGAAGCACACTTTCACTCCTTGGATTCTAAATTCACTAAGAAATTTTTTCAGTAAAGTATTCTATCTATATGTTTTATTCCGAGAAAAAACTTATTCTGATAGTTCATTCGAAAAATATTTTTAACTTTTCGCCACTATCAGACAATACTAAAATCTGTCAGATCTACACGATAGAAATTACTTCTATGTATTCCTTAAGCTTGAATCATTCTCTGAGTGAACTTTCCATGTCGTCGACTAGTCGTTCCCATGATAACGTCCATTTTAACTTGGAATTATCATCTGTTAATAATAATCTAGGTCTTTCACTTCCATTCATGTGGAAAAACCGTTCGGTACAGAACAGGAGAGTTCTCAATTCGACACTCAAAGCGAATGATCTACTTCTGGTCTACTCTTTATTTCTAAAACTTATTTGTCTATGTGGAGATTCGATGTTACACTGAAATCCTTCCTTGACTGACTCTTTGTGTACAATTGTCTCAGAGCATCCTAGCTTTTATGCAGATCTTTTCTCAAGGAAAACTAGAGGGTGTGGGTGTGGGTGTGGGTGTGGGTGTGGGTGGGGTGGGGTGTGG